ATTGTTATTATCATCAATATTAGTACTTTGGATTAGTTATCTTGCACTAGGTGAAATGTTTCCATGACTTGTTGTATCATTAGATGTTAAATATAAGACTACTAGGGAGCATGTAATCCCATTAAATAATATCTATGGAATTGCCCTCGAGTGCTCACACTAAATCCGTGAAACAAATACTAATTTTTAGCACTAAATAGTGATAATTAAACAATAGAAAACAAAGGATTCTGTATGAAATAGTACTAATTAGTACTATTTAATGTTCATGGTTTAAGTGCGTGCACTCTATTTCACTATGACGTCACTGCTTGTTTATGTGGGGGATAGAATCGTTAAATCCAATAAAATATCCAACAAAATTTGCTCCTAGCGAAACAGTTTAATAAAATGGCCTGGTTTTCAGATATAATATGTGTTAATATGTACTAAAAAATATTCTGAGCGTTTGCTGGCTATTCTACTTCTCTTCGTGTATTGATACAGGTTTTAGGACAATTTTCAGTGAATTTGCATTGATTTGACCCCATCCGACGACCATGATCCTTCGCGTTTAAACAATAGATTGTTTTGATGTGACGTCATAGTGAAATAGGGTAATTAAACATTTATTAAAAACTAAAAATAAATAGCCTATTGCAATTCAAAAGGAAAAATATGCATTAAAAATTGAGCAATAAGAAAATGATTCCAAACCAAGTCCCCCAGCCCCAGTCCACCTCCTTCTCCTCCCAATTCAAAATTGGATCCAATGTCCAAGAGGCTTCAAATAGAAATATTAAAAGCAACCCTTCAATAGACAACCATTAAGATTATTGTTTTTATTTGTGAATTTTCAGTTACATTTTTATTACAAAATTATTCTTATTCGTACACTTAATTGATTCATCCTGCAAATTGTGAAATATAAGTTATTAATTTTTTTTAACTTTAGGAGGTCCTAACAGTGTTAAAGGGTTTTTTTAAATATTATATTATATTGTAAATATACAAAACCCTTTAATACTGTTAGGACCTCCTAAAGTTAAAAAAAATTAATAACTTATATTTCACAATTTTGTGAAGCTGATCTGTGATTGATACATGTGTTAAAGTAAAAAAAAAACACGAGCAATATTAAGATAGGCGGAAGAGCGGTTCGTAAAGGGGGGTGCATGATCACGATATTCTTCAATATTGATCCATCTAAAAACATTCACCTTCCGTCAAATGAACAGAGTTCTCACAATTTTCAGTCGAAAGATCAAATATAGACCCTTTATTGGTCATTCACTTTGATTGACTTTTTTGCTATAATGCTTTTCTTATTTGCGTTGTCCATGTGTGTCTTTATTACATCAGTTTCATTGAAAAATAAGAAGTTAAATTTACCCACCCAAAATGTGGGGGTGCCAGGGAATCCCCTGAGCGCTCACATCTGATGAAATGATATATGAAAATAAAAAATAAATTTTAATAGCCAATGTACACTCAACACCAATTCCCCAATTCCTAGCACAACACATAATGGAAAATCAAATACTAATGCTTTTTGGCAACCCCCCTTCCTCTCGCTCTTGTTGCCCTTCATGAAGAGTAGCCACCATCAGTTATGCTAGAACTTTCAAAATTTACATCTCAGGGGCCTTAGGCCACGTATAAATAGTTAATATTCTTAACACATTCTTTTTGTAATTGTTATCAGACATAGAACCTGTCAGTTCCTGATGAGCCCACTTGGTTTGCTGTAGTCGTTGATGTACAGGGACAGAACCACAGAAGATAACTACCTGAATAAAGAAGACCACAATAATTATTCTATAAATAGGGAAACACGGGTGGTGTAGTAGTGAGAGCGCTCGCCTCTCATCAATCCAACCCTGGTTTGAGTCCCGCTGAGCTTGGTGTCGTGTGTGAGTAGAGTTGTTTGTTGGTTCTCTCCTGTGCTTCGAGGGTTTTCCGGGTTCTCCGGCTCTCCTCCTTCCACAAAAATCAACTCCTAAATTCCAATTTGAATGACAGTGGATGAATAGCTACTCTGTAGAAATGCCACCGCTAAATCCCATTTATTTATTTATTCATTTAAATTCAAAGGCTTTTTATGTACCTATCGAGTTTACGCCATAGGGGTGGGGTTGTGTGGGCTGCCCTAGCAAGTTAAGAAATGAGGACACATTAATCTGAGTGGACATACTCAAGGGTAGTGCATTGGTATTCTGCTTGCCTCTCACTTCTAGGGTGTCAGGTTTGATTCCTGGGCTTACATCACATGTGAGCAGAGTACTTCAACTTCCCTCACCCACAAAACCCGCCATATTCTTATCCTATGAGTTAGCAATGCCCTGACCATCCCAGAGGTTGATCTTTGAGTAAGCTGTGTCCCGACTTAGATCAGACCATAGATTGGTTCAGGGTTAAATTTGTGAGTTTGCCATTCCCTGATGTAGATCAGCCCTGAGGTTGATTCAGGACTTGACTAAATGGAATGTTTTTACAGTGTTCTTAGCATACCTCTTCCAAACACTTCTGCTAACAGTGCTGTCCTGGGCTTTCTACTCGTTCTTACTTGCTTCTGGATATTCTCAATGGCTGTAAGGTCTTCTGTGATTGATGAAAACTGTGACAACAAAAACGTAATGTGGTGTTAATCGTGCTTGAGGTATTAATCATCATCATCATCATCACTATCATTACCATCATCATCACTATCATCACCATCATCATCACTATCATCACCATCATCATCACTATCATAATCATCATCATCATCATGGTCCATCATCGTCATCATCATTATCACCACTACCATTATCATAAAATAGATTTCAAAAATAAATATTTTAATTTAAGTGTCTAGTTACCACTACATTCAATATTCCATGCACACAACACTCGATCGACTCACATTTTAATTTTTACGGAGAGATGGCTCAAACCAGTGACCTGAACCAATAATTATCATCATCAGCACATCTCCAGTAACACCATCATAATCATCATCATCATCATCACCAATAATTATTATCATTATTATTTTTATACTTATCACCATCATCACCATCATCAGCACATCATCATCATCATTATCATCACTGTCACCATCATTACAATCAATCCTGATGGTGATGGTGATCATTATTACCATTGATAAAAAAGGTTAAAACATGCCATAGAAATAAACAGTGAAATAATAATAGTAATAGTAAAAGGTTAATGTGGAAATATATTAACAAATCTTACCTGGTCACACATCATTGCCATAACAAAAAGACCAAACAAACAAGACTCAATCATCAAGATGATGGTGTAGATACTACTGGTAGTAAATAAAGACACTCAGTTATTGAATGACACACAGACAGACATGTGGACAGACAGACAGATAGACATACTGATGGACAGACTGATGGACAGACAGACAGATGATCAAGGGGGGTAAATGACTTACAATCTTGTCCTCTTATCATATTCTTTGGAACATTGCACACACTCTTTTGTCCATGACACAGCTACCAGGATAATAGCATATAAACTAAGTAAACCTGAGAAAAAATGAGGAAAGAACTCAGTTAGTTGATTCAATCAAGGGAAGGACAGGTCGGGTGCACTGCTAATGTGTTGCCTCCAATGTGAGCTGGGTTTGATTCCTGGACTCAGTTTCATATGTGAGTAAAGTTGTTTGTTGACTTTTTCCTGTACTTCAAGGATTGTTCTCCACTTTATCTTGTTTTCCTTTCTCCACAAAAATCAATTTCTAAGTTCTAATCTAAAAAAAAAGTTTTAGACTTATTTTTTAGAATTATTATTAATTAAAGTTTAACAATATTGTTTATGGGTTTTTTCTTACAAAGTTTTTGAAATAAATAAATAGAAATAAATAGAAATAACAAAAAAATGACTAATGACATTGTCTAGAATGGTTTGGTACGTAGGTTTGACCATTTTATTTATATTTTTGTTTCTTCCACGTTGTTTATTTTATAACCAAGCTTTCGCGCTACTAATGACATAATGAAATAACAAGAATAATAAAAGAAACAACACATCAAAAGAAATGAAAGGAAATTGCATTGAAGTCTTGGTCATAGATACCGGTGCCTTTTTAATTTTTATGAAGTGATTCTAAGTTTTAATTTCATATCATATTTTCATCTATTATAGAGTCTAAGATTGTTAATAAATTTTTTTTGGATTTTTGGAGAGTTTTTGGATTTCTGTAAAGACATTAAGACTTCGTAATGCCTATAAAAACTGTTATATCATCATCATCATCATCATCATCATCATCATCATTATTATTACTAGCTCTATTGTGATTGTTTCAAGCACTATGCCACAATAGCCAAAACTTAATAGATAGGTTTAACATTTTTTTTTTCCTAATGGTATTTACTATTTTATGAGTGTGAGTTACATACCTGTATAGAATAAGAATAAAAAAAAGTATTTTTGATTGCTTTCCCCAACACAGTTATTGATCCTGGAAACAAATGAAATAGATTATTTAGACATTATACTGTGTGATAGTTACATATTAGCATTGTAAGTTTTATTATTTTTCAAGTTTTTTGCAGTGCAACTACACCAACCAAGGGCACCCAGACAAATGTTTGTAAAAACTAGCCAATCACAATTGTGTATTTACAGCTATTCTTAAACACATGCGTCCTCTAGCGATTGTTTTTGTCACAACGAAGAAGGTTTTGGTGGACGTCAATCACAAGGTGTTTCCATAACATTGTCAGAAAACACAAAGCTATAAGGGCACGTGCCTTAGAATGTCATGGAAACGCCTTGATTGACGTCCACCAAAAGCTCCTTTGTCGTGACAGAAACAATCGCTAGATCGGCGCGTGTGATTGAGAATGGCTGTAAACAAAAATATTCTGTGCCAATTTCCATTTTTTTCTCTTTAAAAGCATATATTTGATTTTATATGAGGGAGTGTATAATCACAAGTGAAAAAAACAGTTTAAATCCAGAATTCATCTGTTAACCAGTTCAAAAAAATGTAATTTGTGAATTAAAATTTGTTTGGGTGGCCTTCGTTAATGTGACAATAGAAGTTTTACAGTCACAATCCATGAAATGTGTCGATGGTAGCCATGACAGGAGGCACAACAAAGTCTTCTCCCCTGGCAAACAAAATTTCTCATGTCAATCAGATGAGAGCAGATTCAATATTGTTCCTGCCTCCCATCATGGCTGCCATCACGTCATGGTGCAAAGCATCTATAGGATTTGCTTGCTTGCATTTTTGCCAAAAATTGCAGGGCTCCCATGCCTGCCCATGATCCTTTTGACAGTGTTAATAGCATCTCAAAATCCAACTACTGTCAGTCATAATTATTCATACCAGGGACAGTGATGGTCCATCTTCTTGATACACCTTCTACAAATCCTAAATGAAAACAAAGAGATTTAGTACATTTTTGCGGATTCAAATTTTAATATTTTTAATGCCCTTTTAGTTTAGTCTGTCTGTAGCTTAAATATTTATTTATTTACTTTTTTTCTGCATTACCTATGAATTTGTTTGTGCTTAAATAAAGATTATCTATCTGTCTGTCTATCATCCATTTATTCATTCTCCTCGTCTGTCTGTCATTTATCAAAGAATAAAGTTCAATGTCTGGCTGTCTTCTTAACTGTCTCCACTGGTAAAATAAGGATATATAAATTCAAAATCAGTAGATTGTTTCTAAAAAATTTATGCCAATTAGACGAAGTCATTTTCACGTCTCTCATGACCATTATCTTTGAAAACATTATATAGATGGTTGATAAAAAACATGTGAAAGATTTTGATAGCCAATGGACCAAGAAGAAAGCAGCTGCGTGTCACAGTCTACTGGTTTTCAAGGTATAGCAATAATTATCTCTGTCAGTACCTGCAGTGGTGTGCTCTGGGTGGTCTATAAGCTTCGCATTTAGTACATGCTGTCCATTCTGACTCACCCTATGGCAACAACCATAAAAAATAAAACATTAACCATGTGAACTACAGGAAGCCCAACCAGGCTATGTGCAATACATCTGGGGGGTACTCTTGCCCGTTTAGGGTAGGGATGTGCCACTGAGCCCTCTGAACCCTGACCCTGTTTCAGAGTAAAGATTGCTGAAATTCATACCCTGTTCCAGAGCAAGATCGCTGAAAACCATACCCTGTTCCGGTAGTGCGAAAATGGATACCCTGTTCCAGAGAGGAGAGAGCGTGATTTCATATACCCTGTTCCAGAGCGAGCGTGATTTTATATACGCTGTTCAAGAGTAGAATCGCTGAAAAGCATATCCTGTTTGGCGGCACGTACCTGTATAGCGAATATAGAGGAGTACCCCCCCCCCCCCACCCCCAGGCCAATACATTTTTAATATAAAATATTAACAAACTAAAATCAATTAATTTTTTAACTTACATTTTCAGAATTGCGAGCTTTATTTATTTCTGAAAAGTCCAGGCTTTCAGTCGGTAGGGGAACAACTCCTGAAAAATAATCATTTAAAGACTGTAATACGTACATACATACATACATACATATATACATACATAAACTTCATTTTTCCACACGATTTAAAGTAATTAAAGCATACGCTTATGATTGGTTGTTTCTGCACCAATGAGCATCAATCATAATTACTGATGTGAGGATGGATGGATAAATGGGATGGATAGATGGATAGGAAGATAAATGGATAGTTTGATTAGCTGATCAATTAACAAACCCTCCTCCACCCTGTCTTCCTTACCTGGGTCTGAAAAAGAGGCCCGTGAATGTGAAAACAGGAGTAGAAATGCTATAATATTGAATATGATCACATGAATGGTACCCCAGATGCTGGGGAAAAAACAAAAAACAAACAATCAGTTACATAATTTTGTTGGGCTGCATTCATAATGTATGACAGAGGGGGGGCAGGTGAAATTGAGGGGGATCGGGAAATTTTTGATAGATAAAAGGCGGGGATGGGCAAATTTTTATCAGAAAAATGGGGGGATACACAATTTTTGGAAGAAGCTACAAGCCTTGCTTAGGGCGGGGGATCGTATTTTCTTGCATGACTTTAAAAGGGGGTGTTGAGAATTATTCTGGACATTTCAAATTTTCACCTGCCCCCCCTCTGCCATACATTATGAACGCAGCCTTAACGGCTATCGATATAATGAAAATGCTTTCAGAACGATCGCAGAAAGATTTCAGAAAGATTTTCGTCACTTTTTTTATAGTACATACTGTAAATAATCCCTTGAGCCAATCGATAGGAGATTTGATCAGTTGTATTCGAACTCAGTGTTTCATTTTAGAGGGCTTGAAACAGGCCAAAATTCATGAAATGATAGCCTGAAAAAAACTCAAAGTGTTCAAGGTACCGGTTCGAGCGTCTTCACTGTAACGTCTATGAAAATTACATACGATACTTGTTTTTTACTCAAAGAAATTATGTATAAAACGAATGAATAATGAATGAATTTTAGCTATCGTTTTCTCCAGCTGAAGTAAAACTAAGGCGGCCCACAAAACAATTCAAGCTTAACTAAATGATAAGCTTATTAATCTTTGTCCTAATATATCCAACTAAATTCATATTTAAATGCCATAAATGAGCGTAGGAGTCTCTGTTTTTCGTAGGTTACCTGTCTTAACCTTTATTTTCTTCGTTTTTGTTCAAGAAAAACAAAGTAAATCAGAAGAAATAGCACTTTTTCATCATATACCGACATTAAAATGTCAGAATGAAAATAAAAGCTTCAAAGCTTCCGTCTTCGCCTCAAAAATTTTTTTTGTTTCGGTAAAAAAAAATCATACTTACTACCTGTCTGAGATAGTTGGGATGACAACATGGTTGACGATACAATAGTCGGCGTAAATAACAGCGGAATAAGTGAGGATTATGCAGCAAATGCCACAAGGATCGCGACGAAACACCGCCATCTTGGATTTTGAAGGAGGAACCACAGGAAGACCAGTTGGGCTGAGAAGAACCACAGGATATCGGAAAAACCGATTTCGTAACGAACCATTACGATTGGTTTACGAGACACTTGGAACTACCGAGACAAACCGAGACGAGTATGTATAATTCCCGAGAATCCAGTTAAAAGCGCGCGAATCGACATTGGGACGCTACGGAATAGAAGACAAGCTTTTAATTAGTCGATGGTAAACCCTCTAAATCTTTACTACTTATTACTAAAATGTCATGTTAAGTTGATTTTAAGTTTCTTTCTTCATAAATAGCAAAAACTACGTTGAAACATTGGCACGTAAAGCAAATCGAACAAGGAAGGGATCAAAGAGCTATAGAAGCTCAAACAAACCTGGAAAACAACGACAAATCCTCAAGGGGAAATCCGCTCAATTTCTAAAGTAACTAAGCTTATGTACTGTAAAACGTCATGATAAGTTAAGTTTTAGGTTCTGTTTTCGCCAAGTAGCAGAAGGTAGGTAATTTTGCCAAGTTGCTGTGCAACAGAAAGTTTCATTTTCTAGAACAGCCAACGGTGCGTTTGAAAAATGTCCATAAGAAATTTAGAGTTTTCCATTGGAGTTTGGTTGAATATTCAGTCGCGGTATTCATTAACAGATCTCTTCACCTCGAGCACACTGTTTTCACATTTCAGACCACATGTCATTTCCCAGTAGAAAGTAATAATTACTTTAATGAGAAGACATGAAAATGGATCTCATTGGAATGACACATGGTCTGTAATGGGCAAACATTACACCCTGGGTAAACTGTGTTCACATACTTAGTTATTCCAACCCCAAAGTATCTATTCTGGAGGATGGATACAGAAGAGCAAGCAGTGATGACACAAGGTTCCAAGTTTGAATATTCTTGAGCCAAAAAAAAMCCAGTTAACTTCAATAATGACGATTATTCTTGAGATTAGGGACACAAACTGGGCTGGAGATGAGATCCAAAATCTTTAGACTCCCAGATATTCCGGGAGAGTTTGTAGCTTCCTTGACTGAATTCTAGAAGCAAAGTCATATGCAATTGGAAACCTCAAAGTAGTTCATTGTTATAAATGTTGAGAATTTGGTGTGACCCACAGTGTGGACATAGTATTTTTATTTCTCTAACTGAAAGATTGATATTCAAAGCTAATTGAATGCAAAGAAAAAATAGGGGGTCTGACACAGTACTATTACTAGTATTACGAGCTATATGCAACTAAATCTAAATTTTCCATTCATGTCTGCACGAACCTGGGTTCTAGTACTTTATACATTCCCTTGAAACTTATGGAATTATCTTTGTAATCTCCAGGGACCCTAAAACATATATTTTGAATTGATTTTGAAACTAAAAAGGTCAAAATAATTTTTTGTTTATTCATTTTTACAAAGTCGTCTATGTTTGTCAAATTTGAAACAAAACCAACCAGGTCAGGCAATACAAAATCTTAAGCATGTTTCGAAAAATGCCTCTTTTCATCTCAAAATTTGCAAAAAGTTACAAAATCTTTTATCTGATTATAGAAAGGTAGTCAAAATGAGATATTATTTGGAGATATTTTCAAAACAATGCTAATAAATGTTAAAAAAATGAGTTAAACAAGACTTACTGTCTTGTAAGTTGATGTTTGAGGGTTCAGAGGGTTTATTTTTGAAGGTTTACAGTATGTACATTTAATATACACTTATTTCAATATGATATACTTATTTCAATAAAGTTAGTCACCAAAAAACCTAGAAAGCTAAGATCAATGAGGATCATGGGAAACAATTCATTTCAAACAAGTAGAGCTTTTGATACAATTTGCAGCTTGAGGACGCAAAGGAGAGGTGAGACTGTAACTGGTAAAAGATCTAAAATCCATCAACGCACCATTTTACATGTTTCAACCGCTTTAATAACTGTTATTAAAGCAGTTGAAACAGCTGAAACATGTAAAATGTGTGTACCAATAATAATCTTGTCGGTCTCTGCTTTGTAGCTTTTCAGGTGTTTGACTTTATTGAAATAAGTATACACAAAAAGCCCTCATGAAAAATCCTGTTAAAGTGCCTATATATACCCTAATCCAATATTTCAGTGTTCTACATGAAGTGAATAGTTGAATGGTAGAATATTTTTATATGATATGAGTGATGCATCTTGGAGATATCAATTTGGTTTATTCTTCCATTATGTTAATGAATGGTGGGGTCATAGTAGTCATTATTAAATATACAAAACTTTTCTGGGGCAGTAAATCATCCTGTATAGAACATTGTCTTACCAAGGGTTTAGAGAAAGGTTATTGCAAATTCATTTTCTCATAGTAATCAGTGTTTCAATTTATAACTTAAATTCAATAGCCTCCTATGACATCACACTCATTAAAAAACATTGTAAGTTCCAAGAAGTATCACTCAAATCATGATCATATAAAAATCTTTTGCCATTTAACTATTCACTTTATGGGGTTTGATAGAAACTGAAATACTGAGTTAGGGGTCATAGGCACTTTAACTTTTCAGGTATTTTAGAATCATACTGAAATTTTGCTAAACAATGTTTCATTGATAGAAATACAGAATGAGCAACTTTAAAGAAAGTAGTTTATCCTTGGAATAAGAGTGCTCCTAACACTGGTTTTACTATGCAGAGAGGCCAGAGTTCATCCCCCAAGGGCAAAAGGTAAGATATACTACTACAGTAAGTATTTTAGGGTCGTGGTTTTCAAGAACTCATCTTTTTTTCTTCTAATTTTCCTTGTTCATATTGTAAGCTAAAATGATTAGCATATTAACTTTATAGCTTATTCATTTTTCAATTTATTTTACATTTATAATTTGTAGTCCAAAGGGAGCTCCAGATCTCAACACAGGTATGTACATTTTCTCTACAATTACAGCGCTTTTTATAATTCTGGGACCTACCAACTCCAGACGTCTGGCGTTCTGGCTTCCGTCAATCAAACTCACGACGAGCCAAGTTGAATTAGATTGTGAGCGACTGATTGAAAAATTCTTGCGATTTGACAGCCACTTTCACATGTCGTGGTAAACATGGCTACGAAGGGCCAATAGTTCTTCCTGATTGGGATAAAATCCTGAAGATCAAGCATAAAAACAAACTCAAACATATTTATTAAAAGACATTTTCTCGGACATGTTAATATTTTGATTTTAACTTTACGATTGGAATCAAAATACCTCAGTGTCCATTTAAAGGTGAGGTAATGGTTGTCTCTGATTGGTTGAGGGCCCGGGGGGGATGCTATTATCGATTGTGCAGATTGGAATAAGCTTGGCCCGTTGTAAATTTGATTGATGGAAGCCAAGATGCCAGACGTCTTGAGTTGGTAGGTTGCAGAATTATTAAAAGCGCTGTTGGATAACACAATGTAAACATAGATTTAAGTTTATCTCAGATGAAATCAAGGTTGCATGGTTAAATTTGAAGATTTCATTCCTTTAAGTTATATTGTCTTTATAGGGTCTTCTAAGAGGAGAAAACACAATGAAACAGACAAAAATGGCACAGCAATTGCTCAACGACCTGAATTACGAGGTAATTCCTCTGAAAGGTCCTCAACTGTACCCAACCCAGCTGAGAGTAGAATGGACATAGATATTGTGAATCAAGAATCTGCTACTTCCAGTCAAGAGAGAATGGACACCATTACTAAGGCTTCTGATAAACCACCTCAAGATCTCATTCGTCTTCAAAAATTGTTTGCAGAAAATGTTTTGTTGATAGATGTAGATTTCAGCAAGAAGGCAAGCAAGGAAGAAGCTGGATTAAGCAAAGTTTTAGAGGCAGAAACTGCTATGAGAAATACTTGTGGTGGTGTCATCATACTTAACAACAGAGCAGCACAAGCAGAAAGTTTTCAAGACAGAGATAAATGGCTTTCAAAATTACAAGAAATGAGAAACAAAAAGTTATCGCAAGTAAGAGATCGAGATACTGTTGAGGAAATCCTTGACTTTGAAGGATTGAACAAAATTTTCGTGAGGAAATCCTCAATTGTTCTGACTGAAGAATCAAAATGTCTTCTTCAACGCTGTGAAACTAGAAATCAACGTGTTACAAGTTACCCTGTAATATGCAGTATCCTTAAGGGGGAAAAAACAACATGCTGCTGTGTAAGTGATGAAAATAAGATGACATCATTCATCCTTGACAGCAAAATGCCATTTCCAGAGTCAAGGATTGCAGAATTCAAGCATCTGACAGGAAAAGATTTAGCAACTTTGCTTCGCAAGGAACTGAGGGAATATGTAGTAGCATTTGCCAATACTGCTGGAGGAACCATCTACTTTGGCGTAAAAGATGATGCATCCATCGTTGGTCAAAAAGTTAACAATGAAGAAAACAAAAACATTTGTCTTAAGATTGAGGAATGTTTGTCTTCAAAACTATGGATTCAATATTCTGGTAAAGAGGTTAAACCTGTTAAAGATCAGCATTATAACTATGAATTCTTCCCTGTAGATGGAGCAGAGGACAACACTTTTGTCATAGGAATTCATATCTGTAAATTTGGAGGCAATGTGTTTTTAGAGAAGCCAATTTCTCATGTGCTGAATGAAGACAATAAAATAGTGCAGATGGATTTTGAAAAATGGATGGGTTTGCACAAGCCTAGTTTAACAGGTAAAAAATTGTCATTCCTGGTAGTGGGTTTTTTTAATTATTTAGTGATTTACATTTTCTGTTTATAATACAGTATTTTTATAGGACCCTTCTGTAAACCACTGAGATGAAATATCGATAATATGCCAAAATATCAATATCACGACTAAATTACAAGAAAAACTTTGATAAAGAAGCTCAAAATTAGTTAAATACATCGTAAAAACTGATAGGAAATAAATTTACGAATAGTCTCATTCAATATTTGAAGAAAATAATCATCCTTCACTGACAAATAGCTACACACATAGCACACTACGTAGTTGTCCAAGTTAAAGCTGTATTTTCGAACCCAAAATGTTATCGTTTTTACCTTGAAAATCAACACTCCAATAAATAATTTGTCTTTTCTTGCTTTATGGTGTGGAGTTCTGAAAAATATTTTCATCTTCTAAATCACTTAATCTTTCATTAACACATTTTTTATGTTTTGTCAATAACACAATTTTTATGTGTTATCCCCAGACAAAGCAAAGTCACGTGATCAATTTTAACCAACAATATGCTAGAATTTTGGAGAGTGAACAAAGATTGTATATTCATTATAATAATGCAGTACTGAAGCTTGAATGCGATACAAATAAATTCCTGACAAGTTGCAAACATAACCTATGGATCCATTATTATTATCATCATCATCATTATATAATTATTTATTCCTAATCACCCTACAATTTTTCTGTATTCCAGATAATAATGACTACCGGGAGAGATTTGAGAAGAGGAAGCGGGGAACTTTCACTTACTATTCTGTAAAAGAAACAGTGAAAGAGTTTGTTGCAAATTTAACATCAGGTATTTAAAAAATGGTGTGTGCATGCGTGTTATATTCACTCGTAGGTGAATATAGCAGCATTAGACGTAAATTGTGACCAATGAGTGCTCCAGATTTATTCTATTCACTTATGTCAAAATACTAAATTAGATTAGTGTGCTAAATTAGATTAGTGTGCTTATTTTATGGGAGTTATGTACTTTTGGGTTGTTTTGCATTTAGTTTAAATGAGGCTCTGGGTAGTTTTGGTSTGGCACACCTAGCCGCATTGAAACGGCTACAACTTCGTCTTGAATAACTCGATCTGCAAGCGCTTTTCACATAATGTCAGGAAAGGATTAAAGGTTTCAAAAATGATAAATTTGTTTAAAGCAGCCTTTTTCCTTATGACATAATGGTGACATCATAGAAATTGTTTACCACTTATTTTCTTGAAAAACAGACCTAAATTTACAAAGCGACTTACACCAGTTGATATAAATATAAATTTCCTGACATCGTGTGAAAAGCCCTTGCAGATCGAGTTATTCAAGACAAAGTTGTAGCCGTTTCAATATGGCTAGGGAGGTGTGCCAGACCAAAACTACCCACAGCCTCCTTAAGCTGTTTGCAAATCACAGGTACCTAAAAAAGATGAATGTACTTTATAGTAGACTTTTGGAAAATGATTGTGTTTTTGTTTTGTTTTTTTTTGTTTTGTTGTTGTTGAACATATCAATGATAGTTACCAAAATTTGTATGGGATGTTCTCCTGAAGCACTTTAATCTTTTCAGCGTCTCAAGGAAAGCTGAAACTGCATCCATCCCATGCTGTCAAGTGGATCAAACATCAAGCCTTGGATATGTTTGTTGAAACCACAAAGGAAACGTTCAAGGAAAACAAGTGGCAGTCTGGGATAGCATACATTGAAAGGTGCTGGGAAGTCAACTTAGGTCTCCCCAGCACAAAACCAGATGATGTCATCTGTGATGTTTTAATGTCTTGTCCCCAAATGCCACTTGTTTTTGTGTCTCTGACAAATTCAGGCAACCCTAGTGAGGCCAGCTGCTCTTACAACAGGAAAGTGGCTGCAAAGCTGAAGGCTGCGCTTGTGCAGGAAGCTGGCTGCTTAGAAAAATTTTATATCAAGCCTGTTGTTATTTCACACCAGCAGTTAGTTTCAGAGGATGCAGCTTGGATTTACTCAGAGACCCCTCTCTACCCTAAGACCTACAAAATGAATAATGACAAGTATTACAAGGTCTTAGAAGCACTTGTGCTGGTTTTGGCCAGGGCAAATGTGATGGCTTCTCACATTGTTGGCCAAGGTCTATTCAATTTGCTTACCTATGAGCAGTATAAGATCCTTCACGGGTTCTACGAGCACAGTTATAAAGTACAAATCACAGGGCCTCCTGGTAGTGGCAAAACTGTCCTTGCCCTTGAAAGAATACGTCGTCTTAGGAATACTGGCTGTTCTTATGATGAAGTGCTATTTCTGTGCTCAAACAAACCACTGAAAGCCAGAGTGAAGTAAGTTTTTATTATTGTTGTTTATTGTAATCACCTTAAGGAGTTCATTCAACTTTCACCTGGTGGAAAATGTTGTGCTAAATTGTATTATAAAGTGAAACATATTTCAGTTAATATGGCTTTTCTGCCAATCAACTACACATTCCCTATAATGTCCTGTATTTATTAATTATGTGTGCCATGTGCCATGAAATGTTCTGTTCATTTACACTTGTAATGATTTGCAAAGATGATGAAAAAATTGTACAAAAGACTCCTAATTGGCTGTGTTTACGAATACACAATGTAACGTTACATAACTGAGCAGCTATAAATATAAAATCCACAAGAACACTCCCTCTGCTAAGTTCAAGCAGTCAGCTGTGTGATGGCTGAGAACAGCCCACCCAGTGACAAATCCCTGCATTCACGTGGGCCATACTCAGGATTAAGTTTTCCCAGCTTGTCTTAGATCTGGCATGGCTAACTCACAGATCGAATTTGAATTTAGCTGGTTAGGTTTTCAACTTATGGTATATGGTATGTACAACAGTTAAAATTACTTAATATATTTTTAAACTTTCTTTCAGAAACATGATGACTGGTGATGGACAGTCATTATGCATTGTGATGACCTACCATGAGATGAATTCTCTTTTCAAATCAGATGCAGGTTTCAACATTAAGCTAGGCAACATTAAACATATCCTTGCCGATGAAGCCCAAAATTTTCAAGTGGGTGATTCCCTTGACTGGTGGTCTAAGTTACATGCACTATGCAATGACAGAGACTGTTCTAGTTTTTGGGTCTTTTTTGACCTTGCCCAAAAGATTAACAACAACAGTGTAGTGAGCTTGAAGGAATTCTCTAAGAAAGAGTTAAAAACGGTTATTCGCCAAACCCGTAATGTACATAGGCTCATTACTAGTAAGTACATAGAGGTAGACCCACAAGTCAAAGTTGGTCATGACTTTGATGGTCAAAGAATTGATGTTCTTGTGCCTTCTACATCAAATGCTGATTGCCGAATGGAATTGCATTTGATGTATATTCTTATTTCTCAGCTACACAAGTTAATTATTAAGGATGGGCACCATCTAAATGATATCACAGTACTCTTTAGTGATTCTAAGCAAAAAGACTTTTATCAAAACTTGTTTGTACAAAGGACAAAATTCAGTTGTCCTATAAGAAATGGGGAAGAAGTATCAAAGAATGGTGTTGTCTTTGATACTATACGACGCTATTGTGGGGTGGATGCTAACATTGTAATTGGATTTTGTCCTGAATATTATAACTCAGACTCTCAAGACAATAATGCTTTAATGACAGCTTTGTGTAGCAGGACAAAATTGAAATTAATTTTGATCTTGAAAAATGAAGAAGAAGCTGATAATTTTGATTTGGCTCCAGAAAAGCTGAAACGTCAAAGTGCATTAGTCAAATGTGCAAGTGTTAAATTTGGAAACATAAAGGGTGTTAGCAATTTTTCCATGCAATAATTACAGTGCAAATCGAAAAACCGTCATCCTCGACTCTGTGACATTAAAAAAAATGATTATGATACATTTCAAGGCTGATAAACAATATCGAACATGCAACAAAACCATTATGAACCTTGTTTGTAATGGCTGTATACAGCTATTGTGGTAGAAATTTTCAATCTAGTTTAGGATCCCAAATTTTTCATTAGTTCCATCCCCATTTTTATCTTTTAAATGTTGAAAGTATGTATACTCTATTTACATATTATATTAGAAATTTTATAGAGTCTTTGTAAAATTGTTGAGGAATGATAACCCTGTTACTAAATTATAAACAGTGCATGCCAAGAAAAAAATATTAAAAATTGTAGTTTTATGATATGAGAATAAAGAAAGTATAAAACATGTGCATGCTTTTTATTTTCATATTATATTTATTATTTATTTGTTTGTTTGTTTATTTATGTTCTGATTTGTTTACATATTATTTATCTATTTACGTATTTAGTGTTTTTCTTATCTGTTTATATATCTATCGCATTCCCAGTACAAAAAAACTCATTCCCAGTACACAAAATCTCATTCCCAGTACACAAAATCTCATTCCCAGTACACCAAATCCCATTCCCAGTACAAATCTCATTCCCAGTACACCAAATCCCATTCCCAGTACAAATCCCATTCCCAGTACACCAAATCCTATTCCCAGTACACCAAATCCTATTCCCAGTACACCAAATCC